GCTCATCAGAAGCCAGATGGCCAGACTTCATCTCTCGTACTTTGAACACATTACCATGAGGGACCAGTCCCTGGAGAAGGACATTATGCTTGATAAAGTGGAGGGTAAGTGAAAAAGAGGAAGGCCTTCAACGAGATGGATTGGTACAGTGGCTGCAGCAATGGGCTCAAGTTTGGCAATGATTGTGAGGTTGGTGAAGAACAGGGCAACGGTTCTTTCTGTTGTGAATTTGTTGTTGTTAAGTGCAGTTAAGTTGGTTCCAACTCACAGCAGTCCTACACAGGGTTTCCAAGGAGCAGCTGGTGAGTTTGAACCACTGACATTTTGATTCAAACCAACCTTGCGGTTCAGTGCATTGTCCTGCAGGGCCACACCAGGACTGTTGTGCATAAGGTTGCTATGATTTGGCACTGACTCAACAGCACTTAACAATAACAACTACAGTGACTTCTTACATTATCTTACATGTTGGCAACGAGGAAACTGTAGCCTAACAAGGTACAGTGGCTCAGAGTCACATGGCTGGGAAATGACAGAGTCATGATTTCAGTAAGATCAGTTTGATTATTTTAGAGTTTAAAATAATCCCTCCTAGTGAGAAGTTGTTCATCTCTTGACTTGTTTTCCAGGAGAGACTTTCCAGAGACTGCAGAAGGCAAAGGAGATTCTGACCAATGAGGAGAGTCGAGCCCGCTATGACCATTGGCGAAGGAGTCAGATGTCGATTTCTTTCCAGCAGTGGGAAGCTTTGAGTGACTCAGTGAAAATGGTGGGTTTTTCTCTGGTGCTGATGTGAATTAGTGACGCTCAGGCTGCCCACGGCTTAGACTCATGTACTAGCTTAAAGAGTTAGTAGGCAATAGGGGGAAGTCTCAGAAGTTACTAGAGTCTGGATAACTCAATGTTCACAGAATCTTATGAAGAGAAATTCACCATCATAAAGGCAATGAATTGGTGCCAGGAAAGCACGTGACCACATTTTTCAGTTGTTTGTTTCAGTATTATCACTTAATGTTTTATGCATTCTGATAAATGTTCTTTTCAAGTTGCTCGTACACTGTACTATTGAATTTTGGACCATTGCAAATTTATCTCCTCCATGTTTTTAGTTCATATCAACTTGCTTTCTTTTAAGTGACTCAGTCCTATAGATTTTTCTTTCAAGACTTAAAGATTCTATCAAAAATAGTTCAATTCATCAAAGAAGGTTGTAATTTTAAAATAAAGTATTCCTATTGTAAAATTCTGGTGAAAAAGTTGTTGGATCGATGCAGAAATGCTTTTTGAACCACTGTGTCATCTTTCTTCATGCCATTAAAAAATCAAGTATCAAAAGAATCTCTGTAACACTGTTATATATTTATTTTGTTTACTTAGTGACTTTTACATATATATGTTATTGTTGTTAAGTGCCATATAGAGTTTCTAAGGAACCGCTGGTGAGTTTGAACTGCCCATCTTGCAGTTCAAATGAACCTTGGTGTCCAGTGCTTACAGTGTAGGATAACCATGAGATTTGTGGTTCATACGCACCAGAGACTCATTGGAAATCCTATACAGGGTCACTATGTATGTATGTGTATATATATAACATAATATACATATATGTTATTGTTAAGTGCCCTCAAGTTATTTTCGACTCATAGTTACCCTAATAGAGTTTCCAAGGCTGTAAATCTTTGTGGGAGCAGAAAGCCTCATCTTTCTCCTGTGGAGCAACTAGTAGATTTGAACTGCTAACTTTGTGGTTAGCAGCCCAGCTTGTAATCCACTACACTACCAAGACTCACCATATATAAATATAGAAAATGTAATTTTAGAAGTTTCTACATTTTTAGGCATGATTTTTCACCAAGATTCTTTCCATAGGAAAATGTTTCAAGTGAGGAAACAAAAGCCTAAAATGATAAACTGGCCCAAAGTCATGTAGCTAGTAAGTGGCAGAGTCATGATTCCAATAAGATACTGTGAGACTTAGATTACTTGGATACTGAAGTTCCCATATAGGCAAGTGTTCTGGGACACTTGTTAGAATCACACTATAAAGTTGTGTATATCTCTTAAATTACAACACTTCGGGTTTGTAATTTTTTTTTTTTTTTTTTTCTTTTTTTTTTTTTTTTTTATTAAATGTTTTTATTTTGGATTGAGTAAAAGTTTACAGGGCACATCATATACTTTCTTCTTAATAGTGTTTATTTGGACAAATGGAGCAAATTATTTTTTCAGTGATAAAATGTTTGTAAGAGTAAGGGAATATCTTTGTAGCAGTAAGGCCAAACATTGTAAAACTTTCAAAATATGTGATTAAAGCCACTGAACCCAAAATGAAAATATTCCTTTACCTTGTTTTGGAATGAAGACTATATCATATATATTTGTTTAAATGAAGTTTCCTGCTCCTGCAAAGATTTACTTACTGTGACTCACTGAGTCAGAACGTACTAGATGGCACTTCACCACAGTAACAAGTTGTTAATTATTAGTGTGAGACTAACCATATAATTAGTGTCTTAGGTAACTAGTGCGATCACTGCAGAAATGCCACAAATGGATAACTTTAACAAACAGGAAGGTAGTCTCTCACAATTTTGGAGGCTAGAAGTCTGAGTTCAGGGTGCCAGCTCTCAGGGAAGGCTGTTTTCTGTCTCTGTGTGGGCTCTGGAGGAAGGTCTTTGCCTCTTTTAAGCATCTGTGGGCCCGACATTTTTTGGCGACCTCCCTGTTTGTTGGCATGGAGGTTCCCAGTGCTAGGACTCTGAGTACAAAGAAGAAACTTTGCTATTGATTCTTTCTTGGTGATAGTAGGTCCCTTGGATCTCTGCTCACTTCCCCTTTATATAGCAAAAGAGGTTGACTTAAGGTACAGTCGAATCATGTATAGTACATCTTGCCACACTAACATTTGTTGTTGTTAAATGCCATTGAGTCCGTTCTGACTCATAGCAACCCAGAGCGGCTGGTGGGTTTAAACTGCCAACCTTGTGGTACAAACCAACCTTTGTGTCCAGTGCTTATCCTATAGCACCACACCAAGACTTCCACATTAACATAATTACCTTTCATTCTGCTTCAGTAACATCATAGAAGTGAGAATTAGAACACATAGGAGAATTACATCAGCTCACACAACAGAGGAGAATTACACAATACTGAGAATCGTGGCCCAACTGAGTTGATACATTTTTTGGGGGAATACAATCAATTCATAACATTAGTAATAGCCATATGATTAGTATTGTATATATGCACATACACACAAACTGTAGGAAATCTTTCTAAAAATAATGACTTAACTTCTCATAGTCAAACCTGAGATTTTTTTTCCCTTTTCCATTCTGTATATCCAAAATTCCTTGCTGACACTGATTCAAAAAACATTGTTCTATCACCTCTGCATAACCATATTTATATTCTAAGTGCTATACACTATGACTGTAGCTGATTTACAAGGGTCAATAGCAAGTTGACCCTTGCTGTTCTAATGCTTTCTGATTAATATGTCATTTTTCTTGATAATCTGGTCAACTCTGTCATTTAATTTTTTAACAGCTTTCCCAAATAACTTTTCTCCAAATCCCTGTTCTAATTTCTATTGCCAACATCTTGTCATTAAATACTAATCTCCTGTCTCCAAACACATCATTTCTGTTTTAAATCTAGCTTAATTGTGAACTGTTCAAGGTTTAAAATAATGACATTCTAGATTTTACTGGCTGCACCATTTGTCTTGTCAGTAAAGTGCAAGTAGTGTTCTGGGCTAGCAATTGGTTTTGGATTTATTTTTATTTGTAGCACACAAATAAAGAGATGTACATCTTCCTGCTGTATATCAGCAGTGATATTTTTTCTCACATACTTTGGTTTGGGCTAGACCCTGATGTTTTTGATTTACTTTTGTTTCCTTTTCTTGGTGAACTTTGAATCCTCTATTTTAAAATTCACATGTTTTGGACCTCATTGGGTAGACATTCTATAACTTACCTCTTTTCTCATTGCTTTCTCTTCTACTCCTCATAGTGATTTTCTGCACAGTGAAAACCTTACCTGTCATAACATTTTCATTACTTTCTCTATGTGTATATTTAATCTGCTCATTATTTTACATTCACTACTTTAGTGAAATTAACCACAGTGATCATAACTACTGTTGTTCATCACCTAAAAGATCATTGTTTATACTGCTCTATAGATGAAAAGAACACCATGAAAGTATTGGGTTAGGTAATTTACTTGTGCCGTTCTAGCGATAAAGGAGTCCGATTGGAGTTCTGTGAGTCCTGGTGTGGTGCTGTGGATTAATGCACTGAACTGCAAAGTGGCTTTAAACCGCAAGGTCAGCCATTCAAGCTCACCAGCTGCTCCATGGAAACCCTATACAGGGTCGCTATGGGTCAGCACCAACTTGATGACACTTAACAACAACAACATTGGAGTCCTGGTGTGGTGCTATGGGATAAAGTACTGGACCACAAAGTTCGTTTGAATCACAAGGTTGCTGGTTCAGACTCACCAGCTGCTCTTTGAAAATTCTATACAGGGTCACTATGAATTGGAACTGACTCGACGTCTCTCAACAACAACAACAAATTGGTGCTGGTGTGGTGCTGTAGGATAAGCACTGGACCGTTAAATCAGTTTGAACTGCAAGGTTGGCAGTTCAAACTCACCAGCTGCTCCTCAGAAACTTTATACAGGATCACTATGAGTTGGGATGGACTTGGTGGCTTTTAACAACAACAACAACAGTGGTGCTGTGGGTTAGGCTGTTGGGCTGCTAACTACCAGGTTTTCAGTTCAAATCCACCAGTCATTCCATAAGGTCACTATGAGTTGGAATTGACTTGATGGCCGTGGTTTTGGTTTGGTTTTACTCTGACAATGAAACGATTTTTCTTTAGGATCTGAGTTTCAGGTGACATTTATCTGAAATACACCTGCAAGTTCACTTGCCCTGTATATTCATATAGTTAAATCTGATAAAATCACTACCCTTTACACCATCAATCCTGTATTTCTGCTTTTTATATACGCAGTGGTGGTGGTTTGTGAGCCATCGAGTGCCTTCTGACTCATAGTGACCCTGGAGAGGGTTTCCAAGGCTGTAAAAAGGAGCTCTGGTAGCTTAGTGGTTATGAATTGGGCTGTGAACCGCAAGGTCAGCTGTTTGAAACTACCAGCTGCTCTGTGGGAGAAAGATGAGGCTTTCTGCACCTGTAAAGATTTACAGTCTCGGAAACCCTGTTCAGAGTCACTATGGGTCGGAACTGACTTGACTACACTCAACAACAACAACAAATCTTTATGGGAGCAGAAAGCCTCAACTTTCTCCTGCATATAAGCAGTATAACCAGTATAAGCAACAGTTAAGCCCTCAGCTGCTAATCCAAACAGTTGGAGGTTTGAACTCATCCAGAGGTTCCATGGAAGAAAGACCTGGCAGTTAATCCTGTAAAGAAGACAGCCTAGAAATCCTGTGAGTCAGTTCTGCTCTGTCCCATGGGGGTACAGTGAGTCTGAAATCAACTCATCAGCTCCAAATACCAACATACTCCTTTTGGAGTTCCTGGATGGTCATACTCTTAGTATGGCTGAATGCTAACGAAAAGATTAGTGGTTTGAGCCTGCTAAGAGGTACCTTGGAAAAAAGAGCTGATGGTCTACTGAAGAATCAACCACTGAAAATCCTGTAGAGCACAATTTTACTTTAAAATATATAAGGTGACCATGAGTAGGAGTTAATATTACTACTGTTTTTGAGAAAATAAT